TCAATGCTATATCTTACACGAAGGTAATCGTGAAAATCACCAAATCAGCTCTTCGATTTTTTTTGCGATTCATGCTTTTTAATTTCCCTTGTGTTATACACTATTATGTAAAACTATGCATTGATAGCAGTAGATGAATTGGAAACCCATGAGCATTTTTATCTCAATAGTATATCGACGCCAGAACCCTCACACATGTATACATCAGTTAAGCTAATGATTCGCTATCTGTTCATGGGTCCATTAAAATTTCAAGCCATTATGACCTAAAACACTTTTTTTTTTATTTTAAGTCCTCTAATCTACTTATTTACGATACTTATATCGATGTTACTGAGAACCAATTGAGCACTTTTCCCTGAAAACGAAGTGTTTTGGGTTCTCCCTTAAGAGAAAAAGTGAAGTCAACTCAGTAGAACTAATCACCATCAAATTGGTTATCGTGTCGTTCGACAAATAGCCTACCAACGTATCACGGGGCGATTAATGTTTCCAAAGATGATGTGCAGTAATGTCTTACAAATTTAATACTCATCCTTGATTTAACGGGATGTATGTTTATCACTAAATTATGGATATATATTTGTGAAACCCTTGCAATGGATTCAGAAATTGTTAAAGTCAGAACACGCACGTGATCATTTCATGCAATTATTGCATTTGCAGAAAGTTGAAACGCGATCATGTACTCAATTATATCGAGTGCGTGTTGTCTAGGTTTGGGATATTATGACACCAACCAGAAAGCGAGACCTTCATTAACTACTAGCTTATTGCCAACTGGTAATTTAAAGAAGTCTAACTTGTGATTCAAAATAAAATTGGTTTGTTATTTAAGGTTTATTTGATCATAATTGATGTGTACAAAAACATCGAACAATGAAATTAAACACGAAGGCTCTCATTCTTGTCAATTAACAAATAACTGTGATATGACTTACCAGCATTTGTGAATTATCTGAGAGACATTTAAAAATAAACAATTTTTGAATGGATATTTTTTTCTTTATTTTATTTATTCATTATTGTCAGCATATGTTTTCTACTTGTAACTCATTTTTAGCACCAACCACAGGCCCGTAATCAGGAGGTGTGAAGGGTTCCAAAGAACCACACTTTTGCTCTGAATGCTGCCAATTCCGTTGCACTGGAAAGTTTATTTTTTGGCATGGAGAGCGAGAGCACGAATTGCTCATGCCCATCTTATTCATAATTTACTTCATTGTAATTTGACAAACTTGTTTAACTAAGGGGCAAAACGGGCCTTATAAACAGATTAGGCATTTGCAAACTCCATTTATTAGCTAAGTCAGGAAATCTGTTTAGTGTCTTTGGTGGAAAATTAGATGTAAAAGGGTTTGCCAACCTCAAGATAGAGAACATAGGGTTAGTAGAATTAGTTGTAGTAGAGGGCATATCTCAGGAAATGATAGTGGGAAATGATTTGCTTGAAAAAGGGCAAGGTAAAATAGATTATGTGGCCAAAACACTGACATGGTTCGATAAGGAATGGTCTTTGGAGAAAAATGAGAAAGAAGTAGAAATAAATGAAATTGTCAAATTGCCCAAATCTTCCGGAAACAAAGAAATAGATGATTTGACCCTAGAATATGCAGATATTTTCAGTGGAAAAGAAAGACCCGTAGGTTTCTGTAATATATTACCCATGAAAATAAATACGGGTGACGCCGCCCCAATCAGATCACGAGCCTACAGAGCCCCAATACATAAGCAAAAAATCATTGAAGAAGAGGTAGAAAAGATGTTAAAAGACGGTGTTATTAGACCAAGCACCTCGGACTGGTGTAGTCCTGTCACACTTTTTCCTAAGCAGGATAACACTGTGCGATTTTGCGTAGATTATCGAAAACTTAATCAAGTTATCAAACGTGACATGTTTCCCATCCCACTGATTCAAGACATTTTTGATGATTTAGGAGAGGCTACTGTTTACTCTGTTGCTGACCTAAAATCTGGATTTTTTCAAATCCCAGTTGCAGAACAAGACAAACACAAAACTGCATTCATCTCACACAAAGGGTTATACGAATTCAACGTCATTCCATTCGGGACGGTCAATGGGCCCGCGCATTTTGAACGCGTAATGGAAATCGTTTTAAATGACTTAATAGGTGTTTGCGTTCGTGTTTACATTGATGACTTGATCATATACTCGAAAAATATAGAGGAACATCGCGAACATCTCAGATTAGTTTTCGATAGATTACGAAAAGCTGGTCTAAAACTGAAGTCTTCAAAGTGCAGCTTCGCCCAAACAGAAGTTAAACTTCTAGGGTACGTAGTTAGCAAAGAAGGAATTAGAAGCGACCCTGACAAAATAGAGGCTATTAAGAAAATCAAAACACCGCGAAATCAAAAAGACGTACGCTCATTTTTAGGAATGTGCAATTACTATGCCCAAACTCTACCAAATTTTGCAAAAATCGCTACACCATTATACTCTCTCACCAAAAAGAATTGCCCTTTTCAATGGAATGAAGAGCACGAAGAAAGTTTCACCGCTTTGAAAGATATTTTGATTTCTAACGAAGTGATGGCCCATCCCCAACTAAACAAGCCATAATTATAAGCTATATTGTGATGCATGCGATTACGCCGTGGGTGGGGTCTTAACACAAGAAGACAAAGACGGTCGAGAAAGGGTAGTCCAATATGTCAGTCACACTTTGTCTAGAACCCAAAGGAAATGGTCAGTGTTAGAAAAAGAAATGTACGCCATTGTTTATTGTGTGTCGAAATTAAGGCCGTATTTGTGGATGGCGGACTTCGGGTACTTAATTCATGGCTCGTGTCGTGAATTTGGGCATTCGTACTCCCAAATCTAAGGTTAGTGGTAGCATATGGCAATTATTGTTTATGAGGCCTGTAAAAAAGTCCACTTATCCAGAAAAAAAGAACCCCCTTTGAAATCGCTGTCTACAGGCAAGCTTTACTCTTCCTGAGAGTAAGAACTTTTATACATGCGGTTTCATTTCTCGTTCTTCTGCATATAATTCTGGTTTGATATTTTAGAAATGACATACTGATACCAAACGTATTTCACGCTTTGTAGCTTGTTTTGTCTTTAACTACAGATGAATTTCAGGAGAATCTGCTGCATTGACGTAATCGCTTCATTTATAGATTACCGGGGAGATTGAAAATCTGTATTCTTAAAAGATCCTTGCACAACTGATTTGTGTTATGCTAGTAGCTCATTCCTATTAAAGACAAGCGTACCGGGAATTGAAATTCCAGCTTCAATAACGTAACTTAAGATGAATCAATGAGAACGATCATTAGAAGAGTCTACCACCCCATTTCCATATATTTTTAGATCGATCTATCCCCATGGGAAGTCTCACTAGTTTACTGTCAGCTTGGCCGGCTTAAGCGTCTGTCCCGCCTACTAAAAGCTGTAAGGGGGTAATTAACTATGGTGCCCGCTCGGCTTACTGCAATTTAGCGTGAACCCCCATGGTCGATCTAAATCTTAATCTCTAGATCGATCTAAATCTCTGGGAAAGCACCCTACGAATTGAAGCAAATGTGTTTTCCATGGCCATGACTTTCTTGAATAGAGCATAATTTGGGAGTGAGAAAAATATTTCGCGATTTGATTCACCTATGTAAGGCCGATAGTGCTCACTCCACTTTTAGCCTCTTTGGGGATTAGTCTCCTAAGGAGCTCAGATTTCTGTGGAAAAAGAGTTGAAGGATCGTTAAGCCAATGGCTTAAAGAGTTAGTGCAGGTAGGTTTGAATTGATGGTCGTCTTTGTTGGTCCCCCCTCCCCCCCCCCCCGCCCCCAAAAAACTGTAGTATTCATAGATGGTCCATTATACAGCTGTTGACATGTTCCTATGTCTATGCTGTTCAGTGCATGTGTCTCCTGTAATATTTTCTTTTCATGAAGACCGATGTAAAATAATAACGATAATTTGGCCGGATCAGCGGCTGCTGATAATGACGTCCTATAATGAGTGATTCGTGCTTTATCAATCATGCTGGGAGTGCTGGAAAAGGCAGGAAGAAAAGAAACAAACCGACTGATTTTACGTGGTTACAACGACTGACGACAACTATAGTGTTACGGTGTAATCTTAAAATAAATGCACGGCTTGAAGATAGGCTGGCCGGTTTTATCCCCAAACCCTGCCGTTCCCTCCCCTCCAAAGAAAAAAAAAGATTACCTATTTTGATGGTGTTGGTTGCAATTGGTAAGTATTCATTGCTCTTAAACTGACGGTGCGTATGACTTGATTCGCCTTGACTTTAAGTGTTTCACTCTCTGATTATCAAGGCAATGGTAGTTGATTTTCCCCGTCAATAGAATACAACTTTTGAAGTTTTCAAAACTGTGTTTCTTCGTAAAAACACGAGCGCATGTAGCGTTTACCTTTACAGTAAAACCCGCTGGAAGCTCTGTCATTCCGTTGAAAGCGATTGAGAAGAGCGGCAAAAACGGAAGAAATCACGGGTGGATCCATGGTTTTGCTAAATGTTGAGGAGGCAAAGATATCTTTCATGTTATATAATTAATTAAAACGGTATACGGACACAATTTTACTGCAATACGTATTTGACGGCTGCACTTGCTGATATTGTGAGAAAGAAAGATACAGTGCCGTCCTTTTAGTCTTGTACTCCTGTTCACCGTCAGGATGAATATGATATCTATCACATGTGTGTCTTATCTTGTTTTGTTCGCCTTGTTTCGTTCGCTAAATATTTGGGGGGGGGGGTGCAATGTACATCAGTACCCCATCTTGGCACAAAGATGGCATGATGCCATGGCACATGTCTGTTGACATACCAAACAGTTGATACAACATGTAGCGCCGTCAGCCTGTCTGTAGTCAGGGTACTAGTAAAATATTACGGGAAACGGAAGGTCGTAAACAACATTATTTAGGAATGACCCACAATGCCCTGTTGGGCATATCTTAAAAGATGGTTACTATAAAACACTACCTGCATAAATATATCGTGTCAGCCACCGCTGTAAGTTTTTTTTCTGGGGCTTGGAAACAACCTATAGTTTTGTGGTTGAAGTGTGTATTTAACCATTTCCCGTGCCTGTAAATTATGCAGAACATGCGAGGCAGGGATTACCAGTACAGTGTGTCATGGGGTCATTTTATCGTGTGTGTGTGTCAAGGCAGAAGATCTAATTTTTGTCTCTTGGTAAGTACATAGTTATCCACCTGTATTCGCCTATTTACTAAGGTCGTGTTGACATTGCAGATACATGTAGACCGAACCTTCAGTGAGAGCAGAGTGATTAAAGTTATAAGAAGTTATAAGGACGCCATACACAGTTGGTGTATCCCCTTCGTTTTTCGAAGAAAGGCGCACGCCGTGCCTTGATCCTGGATAGTGTAAGTCGGAAGGATTAGGGGTGACCATAACTAGAAGGGTTTAACGATCTGTCATGGCAACACGTCGTTGGTAACTTTTTTGGTAACGTATTAATCATTTTTTTATATGTACAGCTGTATGAAACGATGGGAATGGTGCTTATATGTTTATTGTTTAGGTTTACCTTAGTCATTAAATCCTAAATGCAGTTGTGTTTTGAAGTCTTATCTTGGTCTTTCGTGATTCAAACTGAATTATTAAAGGGGAATCATTAAAACAACAATAATATATACGTATTTCCAAGTTAAACCCGGAGCCCACCGTTTCTTTGTTATGTCAGAGTGAAAAGTAAAAATAAACGAGAAATCGCTCCTATCCCTTCACTTACCCTACACCTAAACCTTTCATTTACCACGCTCATCATTGCGCAGCGCTCTCGAGAAATGGTAACCTAACTCCCCGTGAAAAAAGAAAGCATGCTTGAACATGATTCGCCCGAGTTGGTCTATAGTTGCACGCCAAGCAACCATTAGGTTATTTCATGAGGGTTATGCAGAGGAACCGGGTGCTACCGAGTACTTAAACGTACGAACACATCAGAAGGTAAAAGAGAAAGCATCCGTAAACCACCGGTGAACTCTGCCTAGCGTGCAAGACGAGCAAGTTACCGTCGTCCCGTGATCTTTGAAGTGAGGTACGTTTTAGAATAGGTAAAACAAAAAAGATTAAAGGTTACAAAACGTGTTCTTAGTTTAACTTCAAATTTTTCAAAATATCACTGATATACCACTGTAAATCATTTTTTCGGCATCACATGTACAAGTGTGACAGGAATGGTAGTCCTAGGAATGGAAGTCCGGGCTCCCATATGATTAGTACAGGTTAGGGTTAGTTGCAGCACTGGGGTTAGTATATAGGACGGATGTCACCCGTACAAAGTAATGGGGAGCGGACTACGGTTCCTAAGAACAACGGTTCCGAACTACCATTCAGGTCACACTGGCATTGAATGATACGTGTCACCAAGGGTTCAGGTGACACGTCTGAGCATTGATCGCTGTTGATTCGGCAGATCTGTCCAGAAAGTGTCCCGTTTCTCACACATATCAATGATACGGCAGAAAACCGACACGGGTGCTCCCGCTGCCTCGTGACACGGTAGAGTGCCTCCGAAATTCATGTCTAATCGTCCCACCTTACGGTTGGGTGCAGGTACCCTTTGACCATAGGGTGCACAAGTTGTCTATATGAAAATCATTGTATCGCACATACTTTAATTTTTTGTAATATTTTAGAAGCCCCTGGGATCAGAGGGTAGGGTGAAGGGTTTATAAAAAATTCAATACGTCAAATTCATAATGATAGGTTATTCTTAAAACAGCTACAATTCATTTCACCATTCCACTCACGTCACAGTTTGTGCTGTTTTCGGGAAAACCTATCATTATGAAATAGGAGTGCAGAACGCAGCTGATTAATTTCTTTGTTGGACTTGCAGTACGTAGACTGGTTTAAAAGAAAACTTCAGCTAAATCTACAATACTGCAGTAGTAAACACCCCATAGAAATAGTTGAATCACCACATATGTAAAATTCAAGTATTCTAAATATTATGAGAATTTTGGACAAAATGAAACTTACGACATCGAATCGAGTTTGCATCGCACCAAACATGAGAATAGTACGAATGACCATGCATTGTTTCTGAGCGCATGGTAGGTGTGTGTGTGTGTGTGTGTGTATGTGTGTGTGTGTGTGTGTGTGTGTGTGTGTGAGAGAGAGAGAGAGAGAGCATTTTGTTGACATCACACAGATTAAAATTATGGAGAAATGCATTGCTTTTATGGGGCTTAAACCCCACCACCACCCTTTAGTAAGTGTTTATGTGAGAGGTTTTACACAGCAAAAAATAGTAATAATGACGTGTGCGTAAAAAAGGCTGTATTGATGGTCAATAAACTCAATGTACAGACAAGCAAGGTTAATAGATTTTTGTCTTTTATAGGAATATGTATAGTGTTTAGTGGTATTTTACCTGATATTGTAAGCTCATGGTACTCTTTTAATGAATTTTGAAAAGTTTCACGTGAACAATTTCAGAAGAAAACTGATAGAATACGATGCAATTATGATGGAAGACTATAACATCATGTATAACTTTCTTCTTGGGAAATATCTTACTCGACACCGACAATTACATTAATGGGCAATCTACTGGGGAAATCTTTCAACGCAGATTTACTTAAACATTAATTAAAGAAGTAACGGGAGCGCCAGCGTTTACAGATGTCGTTCTTTGATTAATAGGTTTAGAGGTTTGTACAATGCATTGTTGGTGTATGTTATGTAGCAGACCGTGGTAATTCAATTTATTTATCTATCCGTGTTTCCGTCTATCGATCTGCGCCGCTGGTTTAAGTTCACCACTAACTGCAGTTTTGTCGCTGTACATTTGGACATTGCTAAATGACCCAAAGAACACAATCCTCATTTGTGCTAAATCTATGCTCATTTACCTAATTCCCACTAAATATTTCACTATGAATTAAAATTTTGACAGTAATACGGAAAACAAAGAGTCTTGATATTTGAGTACTTCAATGAAATCAAAACTGTATATCTCATTTCAAGCAGTAGAGAAGTTTGTTAATTATTTAATAATTTATTAACCTTGACATTGAAGTTACAATCATCTTAAGCTAAATGTACAATATATTAATATAACACATACATAAGTTGCATTATAAGTTACATTTAAATAGTAAACACACACACACACACACACACACAGAGAGAGAGAGAGAGAGAGAGAGAGAGAGAGAGAGAGAGAGAGAGAGAGAGAGAGGGAGGGGGAGCAAATATAAATATCAAATGCAGTTAGATTGTGATAAGCATACAGGCCCGTAGCCAGGGGGGGGTTCGGGGGAGTTCGAAAGAACCGCCCCTTTTGCTGGGAAAAGGTCCACTCTGGGTAAAATTTGATCTAGGTACATGTAGTTCTTATGGGAAAAGGTCCACTTTTTCAGAAAAAGAACCCCCCTTTTGAAATTGCTGGCTACGGGCCTGGCATATGTGCACACGCTACACGCTACATTAGTTATAGTTAGCCACCAGACTGTAAGACATTGCTTCATAACCCGCGCTTAATATCAGGCGTGTTTTTAAGGGTGAAGACATCAAGTAATTGCCTGGATTACCAACTGATTGGGATATTAGTTTTTAATCAATAGAAATCTGCAGAAAAGGCCTACTGTCTGCGTTCTTTCCCTGTCTGCGGTATTATTTTGGCTCTGTTTGTTTTAAATTAACCATCAATGCACTGTCGTGCAAGTTTTTTCTATCTAGCTGGCAATATGTAAACTTATTTCCGAGATGATGGCAATTAGAATCATGTTAGCAAAGTTGTTTCCACGACACGAAGGTGTACTTAAAGTAAACGTTGAAGATATATTATAAAGGTAAATCTTAATGAGAAGGTGGTGATTACTAAATAAGTTAACCGTTAAGAGTATGGTTTATATTAAATTTTCGTGTGCAGTTATGGAATAGGGGTTGCTTAAATAAGTAAGCACGTTGAAACATTTTACTGACACATAATTTTTGTAGGCAAATATGAAGTGTATATTAAGATATCCTTGTTAATTTTGAGTGATTCAGTGGCATTTTAGAAAACAATTCTTTTCTAATCATCGATAATTGATAAATGCAACTTGGAAATATGTATATAAAGGACGTCATTAAGTACTAGGTAATTTAAAACTTTGAGCTCACGTTTCCATAGCTATACTTAATGGATTGATTTCGTGACTGGGCTGCGACCCAGAAGAGATATATGAAATATTGGTTCCAATCTGTTGCTAAAACTTGATTAGAACTGATATGGACAGAAAATGACAGATGATTTGGTTGATGATACCTTGAAACATACTGATTATAGAAATAACCGTTAATTTCCTTAAACGTTTGGATATCGCTCCTTCGAAAATTAAATAAATAAATAAATAAAAAGATCCCTTTTAAAAGATGTCAAACACTATATATCCCCCTTTTTTTATTAAACTGGATATAGCTAGCTTTTGTCTCTCTCTGTCTAAGGGCGTATTCCCAAAGCTTTTAGATCGATCTCACTAGATTACTGTCAGATAATCCGGCTTAAATGTTCGTCCCGCCTACTACAAGCTGTAAGGGGGTAACTAACTTTGTGCCCGCTCGGCTGACAGTTATTTAGCGTGAACCCCCAGGGAGTAAGGTCGATCTAGTTTGGATCGATCTAATCTCTGGGAATGGGGTCTCAATCATCCTGAAGAATTTTCTGCATCCTAGCCTGTACATCATCTCTACCAGGCTGACAGACGGAATGTTTTCGGTAGATATTCACAGATATATCTCTGGCTATTCACTAGCTGAGCACATATCTGTACTGTGAGTCCAACGAAAATTTCTATATAAATGGCGCCAACAGTCGGGTGGGTTTTGATAGAGAGTACCCATGGATCTGAGTAAGACTTCTCTATCTTGCCTAAAGCAGTTATACTGTTGTGATACCGAGACCATTGATTATCCTCCAATCGGACCTGTCAAAATACGGTTGTCCTTTGTATTCATTCGAATTTTTGTTCTTATACATAAAGCCTGTTATGATTTAGGCCATGATCTTTTATGTGTCCTCACTTTTTTCCAATCGTGTATTCTCTCTCTCTCTCTCTCTCTCTCTCTTTATATATATGTGCGTGTGTGTGTGTGTTTGTGTGATTGCAACCTTGTGGTATATATATATATATTACAAGGTTGCAATTACATGTGAGTCATTTATATATATACATTTTGGGTGATGCAATTTAACAGTGCATGTTCACCACAAGGACGCAGTTCCACATTGAACATAAACTAGATACAAGTGCTATAGTAAAGATAGGCATCCTAATGAATGTGCAAATTTTTTAACCTGTGGAGACGGTAAGGCATGTTGTCAATCGCTGCCTAAATAGCATTTAGGTTAATCGTCAGGTTGTTAGAACGGCGGAGGTGAAAATATCGCCGCACGTCAAAAAACAAACATATTAATGCCAGCGGCAATGCTGCCCAATTTCTGCATTTCAAAGATATTTCGCATTCGGCCTTAAGGTGCTTGGATTTTTGTGTGCACACCTGTCAGTGCACAACCTCTCTCTCTCTCTCTCTCTCTCTCTTAAATTAAATCAAACCAAATGCTTTCAACAGCACAACTTAAAATTATTTTCAACGAAGCATTTGGCAGTACCCCGAGAACTTCTATTGATCTTTCATTTATATATTTGATTTTTTATACATTAATTTTCTCCTTGGTGGGAATATAGGGAGCGCGTTCTTTAATTAACAAATACACGTTTCCATGTACATGAATAAATATTCAGGATAAAAAAACAAACTTAAACTGGCTTTAGATTTAACCAGCTGTGGTTGAAGAGCAATCCTGTGCAAAAACGCTCAGTTTAACATACTGGAAGTGAATAGGTTTTTCACATCGCCTGGCAATACTATCACTAAACCAGCTAACTGAAATGACTGGATTTAGATCGGTCTAATTATTCTGTTATCTTCTCGACCTGACACGTACAGACCTGGCTTCTATATAACGCCTGACGTGCGAATCCAGCTGGGTTTTAAATTCTTTATAGGCAGCCTTCTTTAAAGGAATAGACAATTAGATAAACGCTCAGTTAGCATACACTATCGCCATAATTGAATTAATATTAAGTGCACTTCTTTTAAAATAATTGAGATTTTAGTGATTTTAGTGATTTTAGTGGTGGAGTGTAGACCATTTGGAGCCGTGACGTCAGTGCAGGTGCCTGCGCAGAACGGTGTTTCAAATACACTGCGCATTATTTATTGGCTAATTTGAAGCAAGTTGAAATGGCGCCGCAGGTCAAAATGGCTTTCATTAGAGATGATGATGCAGTGGAGTCCATCACTCACCCCAATCCAGCTCAAGGGAATCCGGGTCAGGGGACCAAATAAAACATAGAAGTTATAATTAGAACTGATGCGGCTGCGTGATTACGTAGAATAAAAACCCTTTTCTCTAACGGCGCTGTGTCTCTCGGGAGTCATAATTTCCGAACTAAATATTTCATTTAAAGCCGGAGACACCTACATATGCTATTTTTCTTTAATCGATATTTCACGAGACCTCGTCCCGCACGGTCTCGGTCTGTGCATTCACACTGTTATAGTCGTTAATGCCCGCGGCCCAGAGGTAAAAAGTGGCTTGGAAATGATGTATCAAAATTTTCGGCTTTATTCAAATTGATTTAATTCACAGCATTGCTTTAACGATTGTCGTGTAGTTTTGAATTTTGACTGTGGGGAGTCGAGAGTGCAGTGCAGTGTACTGTACTGTACTGCACCAAAACCAATTGGTTTGAGACATTTAATCCTAATAAATGTAATAAAGAAAGTGGTTTGATAGACAAAAAAGCACTAATGGCGATAGCCACATTAGTGTTCCAGTTCAAACAACTGTTTAAACGGCCACTTTGCATCGGGATCGGTTTTTGATGCGGTTGACACATATAAACAACCTAATTGTATGTGATTCATGTAAGTTTGATACCTATTTCGTGGGGATATTCCCATAGGGAACAGGCTTTTAACTGTTCTGTTTTTTTCTATGGGAAATGATCTTTTTTTTAATACTGCAAACCATTCAAGTATATAACAGCCAAAAACCCCATAATTTACATATTTTAAAAAAGTCAAAATAAACCTACAAATGTGCACTCCATACGTTTCTTGCAAGTATTGATTTCAACTTCAGAGAATTTATAAATCTTTGAAGCTTATATGGTGTCCTAACCCTCGATCTATGAAAATGTATTGCATTTTAAAATGTTTGGCAACGATTTGAGAACTGTTGCAAAAAATGAAAACAGCAGAAAAATCACAGTTTGGCAGGTGAAGCAAACAGGGGTACAACTAGACACGCCTGCCGATTTATTTTAATTTGTTGTGTTTTATTACAAAAAAAATGTAGGTGTGCTGACGTGCACTTTTTTAAAATCATTAAACCGAAATGTTATGATGTTTTTTTTTATTATTTTAATTACAAATCATATATGACGGCTAAGGCGTCAAACCCTCCTCCTCAGGCAGAATTTTTCCCTAATAGCTATTTGCCGGACTCGCCTCAACATTCTGAGTAATCAATCTGTGAGACTTTACGAGAAATCGAAGCCTCTAAGGCCATGTTATTACGAGAGATATGATAGATAATTAACCTTGCATTGCGCTAGTATTACCATCAATAAGCTACTCGTGTGACATTAGCGTCAGAGGACAGGCAGACGACAGTCTGAAGCAAGCGTTATCTGCAATGTGATCTCTGTCTGTAAAAAAGAGCCCTGATTAATTGCATCCATTTTAAATAATAATACCACGCACAGAGCTGCCTGTTTTAAAGGCCTTTTTCACTTTTTTCAAGACTGTGTCTTATGGTTACATTATTTTTACTGAGGTAACAAATAGAATGAGATATATTTTTATATATTCTCATTTTGCCAAACTTGAGTTGCCATAAGAAGATCGAGTAGTAAAACGAAGAGGGCGACAGGCGTCGCCAAGGGTCAAAATATATTTACCAATAACTATAACTACCCTCCCCATAGGTAAGCCAGTTTAGGTGGATCAGGCATTGTCCCCACTGATACTTTGTTCACATTGGATGGTAACTGATAGATCGATTTTCTTGTTATCGACAGACAATGCGGATGTCAATATAGTCGTTACCAAGGTTGTGCTTTAAAATTAAAACACCGCATGTAAAAGTTGCAAACTGCATGCCAGCCAACCACAAAGCGGGGTCTTACTTTGATGAATATAAGATAGCAATCATTATTTGATGTTTCTAGCTTGATTGTGTTGAACAAAGGTAACGCGTTTCCTTTGTCTCCCTAACCTGATTATGTTCAATGCAACTGTATCTCTACATTAATTTGTGTGAATCACTTGCTTTCAGATCGGTTTCCGACGGAAGATGGGGCCTTGAAGGATATAAGTGAAATAAGTCATGTTTTTGCCGCTAGATGGGGTTCTGAGACCTGAAAATTAAGCAGATCGGAAGAGACCGTTCGTGCGGCCTTATAATAAGTTCATTGCCTTCTAATATTTCAGACGATAATGACGCAAACTTCACATCTTGGAACTTCTCGGATGTATGGAGAGTGACGCTATAGGAACGAGATACCACGTCATTGACACACAAGGATATATATACAGATCTTAGCGAGCGTTACGGGCAAAGTGGTAAATTCAGTCAGGACATAAAGTGGACCTAGTGTTGGTGTGAAAATACTCTGATTGCATATATCACCGTTTACTTTGCAGTTTTTTTTTTCTGTTAAAGGAAAATAACTTTATTGGCACAGACACATGTTGCTCGAGGACAGTTAGGGTTCAGCTGTTATAACTTTATAAAAAAGGACGCGTGGACAGTCATAAAACAGGCTGACAGGTGTAAAAGTCGATGTTAAATATCAAGCAGACGGTCCAAGAATACCCCTGTGTTGTTTTGGAACTTAAAAAACGCCAAATTGCAGATTAAACTTTTCTCTCGGATACAGTAATTCAAAGATGACTGTAACTTAAAAGCACGTGGATAGAAAACAGTTTCGGGCTGAATTTTTTCCAGATAACCACAACCCTGAAGCAAAACGGCTTCAGGATTTTAATTAATTTTCACTTGACACACAAAAAAAACAGCTTCTCTTTGGGAAAATTGCCGTTAACTAACTAGAAGCACGCAGTTACTAAACGAAGAGAAAAATTACGTAAGAGGCATCTGCAACAGGGATATATATCAGCAATATAGCAGGACAAGAACCCATTCATGACTATGGAAAACTTTACCAACGGCACGAACGAAACCGACTGTCCAATCGCTATTACACCAGAAGACAAAAAAGTGGCCGTTCCAGTGATATTGTTGTTGATATGTTTTATCGGAATTGTAGGTAACTTGGGAGTAATCTACGTCGTCTATAAATTCCGTCAGATGAATCCTTTGTTCTTGAATCTGGCAGTCGCCGACCTTCTCTTTAACCTATTCGGATTGCCAATCTACGCGGCATTTTACGCAACAAAACACAGAATCCTCATCGGAGACGTTACTTGTAAGACTCTTTATTATCTGACATATGTCACCATGGGAGTGAGTATATATTCCCTCGTGGCTATTTGTCTTCTGAGATACCTTAGCATCAAATACCCGTTACATCTTAGAACCATGCTAGGGCGTGGTACGTCGTACAAGGCAGCGGCGGTCACGTGGGTAGTCATGTTACTTTTGAATATCCCGCTCTTGATCATAATGACGGAAGAGGGTGGTAAGCCGTGTAGTTTACGAGTTGGAGAGTCGTCTCTGTACTACATATATGTCACCGTCGTATTTGGTATAGATTTCATCACCCCTGCTACCATCATTGCAGTTCTGTCTACCTTCATCGTGATTCACGTGTTCCACATACAGAAAGAGCATCGAACCCTGTCTGAAAATGAAAAAGGAGGATTCCACAAGGCGTCTAAGATGGCCACGAAAAGGCTCATGATCCTCGTCATTCTTGTTTTCAGTCTCTTTATCGTGTGCTGGGCGCCGATGCACGTGCTCTTCCTGCGCGCGGTTCTGAACCGTGACGTGGCGGACGACCGGCCTTGCATCTGGAAACAGGTCACGGAGTACATTTTCCTGATTGCCCAAATCCTCGCTTTCTCCAACTCCAGTGTCAATCCCATTCTTTACAATTTTGTATCAAAGGAATTTCGACTGGCGTTTGCCAGGGCAATGTGCCCCTGCTATTACAAGAAAAGGGACGAGGAGCAGTCAGAAATCACCCGACGGATAACGGTGTCATATCGCACGGACGCCGAGATGGAAGTCTCAGACTCCTGTTATCAGTCGGTACCTTTGAAAACATTGAAATAACTTGCTTCTGATGGAAGCACATTTATGTCATTAAGAAATGTTAAATAATCAAAACACACAGAAGAGGCTGTGGCTTTAATGTGTTTGGACCAAAATTACTGGTTTTTGAGCGCGTCATCTTTATTCCACCAAAGGCTATATGAAATTGGCACAGACTGTTTTTCTCCCTGCAAAATGATTATGATATTTATTATTCATTTACGCGGAAGCAGTTGTTAATAAAGTATTTAAGTATTTGGTGGTCAGCTGGACAATTCTTTTGGCGTTGCTAAAGCGGCTATATAAACATCAGGCAATTAGATGGAGGCATTCACCGACAAAAGATTACTCTACACATGTAAACTTATCCATGATTGCATATGAAAAAAATATGTATATGTCAAATAGCTTTCTACCAATAATGCTTTACACTCCTCAGAGCTTCTCCTACGAGGACAGAGGAAACTTCTTTACTAGATATTCCAAGATATTCCCCTTGCTTTTCACCGGCTCTGCATATTTCTCCTCTGTGGCCGGTACATGAGGATTTTTGCACAAAAAAGTACTTATCCACCCAGTCGGCCTCTATTGGAGAGTAAGCTATATACAGCCTAGTAGAGTTTACTGAGGCACGTCTTGGGTTAGACAAGGTACAATTAATTAACAGAGGGGCAATTTAAATGGGTGTCTTAACGTTTGATACGTGATGTAATGGATCCGATTGATATATATTTATCATTTAAGCACAATTTGAGGTGACACAATTGCAATTTGGAACAAAGGTGGCAAAATGTCATTACACAATGTCATTACTAAAGCAAATTAAAATGTCTTTATATACATTAAGACAACGTTGATATTTTCCTCATAATTCCTTTACAACTAAGGTTACTTTTTCGTAAATAAATGCAGTGGAGCATTTACTTTAATCAAGGGTGATAGGTTTGAGAGGTCATACCCTAGGGTCGTATTATATTTCGTTTTATTTTTACGTCATCAGAAAACTGAGCTGCGAATATTCGATCACTTATATCGAGTTAGTGAGCGTAGCCAAACTGATTGCTGAAGACATTTTATTGGCTGTGTAAGCGAAGCTTTCAGTGTTGATGCGCGAAGGTGCAAATCATGGGTCTACAGTTTATGTTATATGTAGCCATTTACCTCAAATGAATAAAAATAATGAAGAATGACGGTGTTGGTTTGTTAAGTGTTATTCAAATCTTTTGCAGGACACACAGATGTCGGGGCATTGGACAATTTAGTCTATTATTTCTTCATTAAATTGTGACGGAAATCATATTTCAAAATTAGATAATAAACTTATTGGATTAAGGCACATTAAATAGAATATCTATATTGGTGATTTGTTATTCCTCAAGAAAACACGCTTGAAATCACGATTTGACATCAGTAACACTTCTCTTAAACATTATTGAGCATTATTTGAAACATGTAGACCCTATAGGAGGGCAAACAAAACGCACCTTCGCGCATTTACGAAAACATAAGTTGTGTTAACATTGAAGATATAGGTCGACATTTCTCTGTCAGCCATCTGAGTGAACTACGCAGCAAGTGTGATAGGTCTGTGCTGTAAAGTTTGTACCCTTCCATTACACATGGCGGCAGACAGCACGACAGGGAGGTTACAGTTGTTGCCCATGCAAAGACTGCTCGAACAGAATGTCGAGCCGAGAAGTGTAGATTTATCTTTAAAACGCGATGTTTGGTGTCTTCAAATGAAAAAAAAACTGATCCTTTGCTATTCAGACAAACAATTATGCTACCCTCTACCAGGGCCGCAGATTAAGTATATGCACTTTTCTCCAACCCAATGCAGTAAATGGCGATCAGTTAACCAGAGACATATCTGTGAATATCTAGCGAAAAATCAATCTGCGGCCCTGGTAGAGGGTACGAATAAGTGTTATTTCTGACATCCTCCCCAGTTTCCTGATCTCAATACAAAAAAAAAAAAAAAAAAAAAAAAAAAAAAAAAAAAAAAAAACTATGCGCTGCCAAGCTTTCAGAGAGGGGATTCGAATTCGAAACCTTAATACTGTCGCTGCGGAAGTATCGTCTGCACCTTGAAATATCACGTATGCCATTGCAAGTCTAATCAAGCATTGCTGAGATAAGCTCCAAAGTGGACCCAAGTGGGTTAGATCATGATTCCAGATATGATAAAAAAAGATCGCTGTTGGGCGTATCTGGTTTGACTTCAATATCTTGTGCTTGATAGATATGTAAAAGAAACTAAGTTTGTGTTTGATGTAAAGACGATGTCTTATTTTGACACCGAAACTTCAAAGCTTTGTTCAAGCATGCCCTGTTCACGTTAAAAAATGTCACAGGGGAGTGGGTGAGGGGTTTGCTTCACTTGCTCAAAACATCACCAGGTTTCCAAACTCCAAGGGTGACGGCGTTACGTATACAGATCTGAATATTACGATATTTTCCATGCGGGATAACGGAGAAAATGCATTAATTGATAATACTTTAAGCTATCATCACCATTGGAAAAATGCTGAGAAAGTGAGAACGTGAAAAAAAAAGATGGAAAGTTGAGGATGCGTTCAGATGGCAGGGCTCCGTGTTGAACAACAAACCTGTAGTCAGCCGTTTCAAGGGGGTAGGGGGTGGGTGCTGAAGTAAGACTTTCTTTCTGAGATTCCAAGTCGAATAAGAGAAATATTTTCAAAGAGTAAAGATGAATTTAGTTTTATCTAATTTAATTTTCCAAAACGATTCTGGTCTCCGCCTTTATCTTCATCTCATATATTCAACAGCATAAAATGTTAGCTTCATAATAATACTTTTATGACATTTTTTGTAATTATACAATAATTTTAAATTTTGCAAATCTACAGTTCTTCAGTGTTTCTTCTGTTTTCGTGACAGCTGTCATTAAATGTAGGGTTCAGTAATGTACATGTCGAGCACAGGGATAAAAATCATGTTTGGTTTTGTCTGCTTTAGAGAAAGAGAAAAGAAAGAGAACGAATTATGACCCTGGGGGCCCCGAAGAGGAGGCCTGCCCTGAATGAAGATCTCCAGTGCGTCTCTCCCCCCCTCCCCCCCTCCCCGCATAAAATAATCTAGCTTTTGAGTGTCAGAAGACTCGTTTTTGTAAAACGATACAAGTTTCAAGTTGCCATTTTTTGGGGAAAAACGGCACTAGTTTCTGGTTGCCAGAATCGTTTCTGAAAAACGAAACTGGAAACACTTATTTAGATGGGGTGGGCCAGAAAGCGGACCTTTTTACCCCTTAATTAACCAAACCTGAAGGACTTAAGACTTTTTTGCTTTTTATAATCCGTTATCGTTATTTATTTATTTATTTGTTTGTTTGTTTGTGTGTTTATTTATTTATTTATTTATTTATTTATTTATTTGTTCATGATTTTTTATTCACAGAATAGAGCATAGTCCATTTGTTGTAAAGAGAAGGAAATGATCAGGACACTCACACATATCTTCATTGGTGTATGTTGGTACAGTACGTCTGTAATACGAGTTTCGTTATCCAATACTTTGAGTGAATTTGACATTTGTTACCAAGAGAAAACTATTAAAAGCAAGATGAAAATCCTTTTTTTTCTTTTATGCCAACAATTCGCTCCTAATGTCTAAAAGATAAATATTAATTCCGGGATTGAATAAACTAAGGTGACCATTTCTTCTACTCAAAACATCTTTTTGAGAAAAAAAAGAAGGAAAAAGGAGATAGAGATATTTGACATAGAAGCCTTAATATTGGTTACGATCTTTAGGCGCGCTACCCGGCTGCCATAGGTCTATCTAAAACCGTTTATCTGATCAATAGCTTCATCAACCAGAAGATTACTCGGACAGAATGGCATTACTAAGTGGCCTTGTGGGGAGCAAATTGCCTTCTCTCGCCAATAACCTTTCATGTGGTATTTCCATTTTCTACTACACCATTGACTTAAATAGATTTAGCTTCACTCCGGTTGCATTATTGTCTGTAGTCTTTCAGTGATGAACTGAAGGCCCAGGCGTGTAAAGTACAAGAAAATGCATAACACAAACGCTACTCCTGGGTCATTTGAAATAACTAGTTACGACGGTGTATAATTTCAGAATTAACGCTGTGCAGTAAGGATATATTTGCAATTTAAAAGACTGATAAATGTGTCAACATAGAATTGAACAAAAGCTCATTTTCCTCCCTTTTCCCATTCGCCGTCAGAGGGGTTTAATTTCGATTTAATGGATGTTGTGGAACACTGATCCTAAATTAAACGACTGAGATCTTATTCGTGTCCTAGCTAGGCTCACATTTATCTGACCAAAAGTAGACTTTTGTGGATTTCGTTGGGCTTTTGGATTACAGAGGGCGGGGCCTTGAAATTAACGCTAACATCACGTTTTCCCGTCTAATCGCAACACAAGTGCAAAAAATGTAAAAAATTGCATTATGCACATTTCGAACATTAATTGTATTGGTTTTAAGCTCTCTAATAAATTAAAACTTTTATTTTATTTATTATTATATTTTTTGGGGGTATCATTATTATATTTTTTATTTTAGAAAAATGGTCTTACTTAATGTATCTTTGTAATTGAATGTTTTGAGGCACAAAAAATGGACATCAAATTTCAGTTTTGGAAGCAGATCCACCTAGACCTATAAAAACGTCTGTTTTTACTTTTATGTTTCTTTCTATTGAATTCATTGATTCATCCATTGATTTTCTACTCATCTTTTTATCCTTGTAGAAATGCAGACATATTTTAAGCCCCTGACTCAACGAACAACATCCACCCTTTGAAAGGGATACCGGATACCAGTTTGATATCCTCCTTTAAAAATAATTGAGCTTGGAACTAAACGTTTTGGGTTAAGCTTCCTAGACCATATGACCGTTGACCATCTACAATTTTTTTTTTCTCTTGGCAAAATTAAGTGAAAAAAACGAGCCCATTTTACAGGATGTCAATTACATTTGTCCGTAACCATTTGCGTTTTATATTCCGGACCGACAGGACATCTCTTGAATGAATGAATAAATAATATAATATAATATAATATAATATAATATAATATAATATAATATAATATAATATAATATAATATAATATAATATAATATAATATAATATAATATAAATAGAATTATAATAATAATAATAATAATTATAATAATTAGATAAATAAATTCTACCTCCAACTTCTTTTAAATGCACATTACCAAAGGTCTAATAACTGATATTCTGCCTCAATTACAATTTGCTTTTCCCTG